GCGAAATCATTTCACTGACGCTTCAGATGACTACCATTGTCCAGTTCCATGACTCAGATGATACCATCCGGAAACAAGTTCACGATTTCTGTGGCGCATTGATTTTACTCAAAAGATGGGACACCCCAGTGCTCGTGCCTGCGCTAACACTTCTATCGGCACTGTCAGAGCCTGTGGATGAGGTGATGTGGATATACGAGGTGTTGGAGCATATTCATGAAGCAGCGGCGGCCGGCCATAGCACTTGGATGCAGTCGGATGCTGCGGTTTACCTCTTGAGGGGACTTGCGAAACCCCATATTTTGCCGCGACCTTCCCATACCGTGCTTGGGTTTATTCTCACCGCACTTTCTACCGGAAAGAATACTTCTCGGGAGGGATTCAGAATTCTCTGTCGCCACGCCGAAACCTGGTTTCCCGATGCGACTCTAACACCCATCCTGCGACAATATCCCATTTGGCCCTTGATGGGCCGGATCGCGCTCGGAAACCCTCACGGATTGGGGCGCGAATATCTGGAAATGGGAGATGTTCTTTCAAGGATCGTAGAATGGGAATCCGACATCCGGAGCGATCCAGCGAGCTGGTTCATCATGTGCTTTCAGCATTACAAATGGTGGCATCTTCCCTGGACTTTGCAGGCACCGTACACAGCTGTCCTGAGCCGTATCTGGAAAATCAAACATTGGGAAACATACCAGTTCGAGGATGGACCCGGACAGGCGTTGGGTCATACTTTGATTGCGCTTTCGCATGTGTGGAAAGGATTCGATTTTGCGGGGCATCAAGTCATTATAGAGTTTGCTCGGCTTGCGAGGTGCACGACAACCATTGCCTTTCGGGCGACATATACATGTTCCCGGGAGTGGAATATCTCCCCCGAATTCAGAGTCGTTTTCATACACCCCCTCGGCAAGACCCTTATTCAGGCTGCCACGGTTGCAAGAGAAGTGGCTGGCGAGGGGCCTGAGGATGCACAGGAATTTACTTCTTTCCTAAACAAAGTCGCTGACATCTTGGAAGAGATGGGAACCTCACTAGGGGGCAATCACAAACGGCGTGTACTCAAAGCGGAGAAGCGGTACTGGACCGGTCTGCGAAGGTATTTCCATGTCAAGATCGATGCACTCACGGCTGAGCTTGGGGATAACATTGACCACCCCAATACTCGGGCTCGCATGAAGGACTATGGCAGTGAAAAAGATGCCGTGGACGGTAGCGGGGAAGAAGAGGACGAGAGTGAGAGCGAGGCCTTTTAAACCGCCACTGTAGTGGCCCCGCTTCCCACCTTAATTTCCTTCGCCTCCAACTTTTCGTGAAAATTCCCAGCCCAAAGAGGCGGTTTAAAAGTGAAAACATGGCGGCAGAGGGCTGTACTCAACAATTTGAGCGGCGAATTAGTTCTGGCGGTAGTTACCGGAGATGTTCCCACGGTTCGGTTTTGTGATTGACGTTAGACAGTCTTTTTTTCTTGGTTAAGAAACACAGGGATAGAATGTATGAGATATATTATAAATATCAGAGCTGCTATTTGACCCTGAAGTCCTAAAAGGTGGTCGAAAGGTTATAATTACAATGGGACCGAGCATACAAATCCACTAGCCAGCTTGAGCCACCGCGAGAGAGCGTGAGTAATCTCAGCACCATTTCAGCCGATGAGACTGGCCATTTTACGAGGGTGAGAAATGAAAATAGGGCGAGTGCAAGCGACGACAGGGTACGGAGTTGGGGAGAGGAAGTATTTCCATAAGGCTTCGTGCTGGCAGGATGTGAAGGAAAAGCACGGGAATTTTGGGCGTAGTGGGTCGCCGACTTTGTGCCATCAATATCAATGGCACTCCCTCGAGAGAACCAAGGGAGTCACGTTAATGTGCCTTCCGCGTCACTACATGTTGCCCGGTCTTTCCATTGATTTTACAACATGACTAATGGCTCAATGGTCCAAAATGGCCCATCGGATACATATGGTCTTTTATTGTGGAAACCCTGGGAGACTACACTGGCCGACTCCTCCTCCTCGGAGACCAACAGCGCGATTATCTTGAATGTCGTATTTTATTTTCAAGAAAACAAAGATTCGAATTCAAACAACGACATTCTGCCAGACCCATCCAATACAAGTCTTTCTGTAATTTCTTTGTATGCAAAACAGTATTTAACAGGGGCAGCTTCCGTTCTGCCCGCAAGTCAGGAAGAGTACTAGTGTGTGGGGGGTCTTCGTGAGCACTCACTGCGCAGCAGGCGGGGGAAGAAGGAGTGCAGCCGTCCTCGTTGCAGTCCTAAACGCGAAATCTCGATCAGGACCGACAGAAGGAAACAAATAGCAGTATGGTACTTACACAGGTGGAGGGGAAGCATTTCTTCGAATTTTCGAGGGAGGCACTGGCGACCACAGTCGCAAAGAGAGCAACGATGAAGAAGTTCAGGGAGAAACGCATTTTGAGAGAAGTTGGTGGGTGAAAGTGTTCAAAGCTTCGAGCCTGAGGAATACGACGCTTGAATGTTAGGCCTTTTATACAGTTTCTGGCCGTTACGTACCCGCTTGCAGGATCCCCTTAAGACGTTGTCAAGCGCTTTAACGACACTGTGTCAACCCTGGGTAGCCCTGGATACATCAAGACGTCGTGCGGGACAACATAATTTAGGTATGTCAATAGCGCACCGGGGGCACCAAGCACTTGGGCGAGTCTCTTAGATGAGGAGTTGACAAACTCGGAAATCTTATCGATGCTATGAAGAGCTGAGGGACTGAGTACCAGCTTGCTCCACATTTTTTTCTCGGACGGGCCACAGCGTGGTCGTTGGCGGCGCCTACGATACTGATCAGCCAAGTTGCCAAGATCCGAAGAGAAGAGGTTCTTCTCCCTTGGGTTCTCCCGCAGACGCATTCCCGTCTTACCCATGGGCCCCGATGAGCTAGGGTCCGCGTGTGACACGGATAAGTGTTGTTGCTGTAAGTGTAACCAATTCAGAAATCCAATGATCCATTACATGTGTATGTAGTAGCAACGTGCATCTGGGCAAGCCGTCATTGATTTTCGACCAACGTTTGGAGTTGTACTTGCCATTAATATTATTGGCCGGTGGGTTATTTATGTTGAGGTGGAGTACTTCGGAAGGATCTTTGATGACCATCGGCCAGCGGCGACCAGCCTGAGCGGCGGACTTGAAGGATAGAAAAGGGGGATCGCGGGAGAGCACAGACCACGAGTGCGTCGGTAGGGGACATGATGCGTTGGCGCTGCATGATGTATTGAAGCAAGCCGTAAAGCCAAGCCCAGTGCGAATTCAGCACACTTTTTTATCACCCACGAAAGCTATTACATTGATAGGTCGGTCAAAGCGTAGAATCTCAACAATGGAGCCATAGTCTGGAGAAATTGCGCCATGGCTGTTTGCCGAGGAACGAAATTGGAACGAGTCTCGAGATCTGGGAAAGAATAGAACTCAAAACCGCCGGCGGCAGTCCCGATTTGGTTTTTGATGCGATCTTCTTTGTTCAACCGTTGTCTTTTTCCGTTCCTTCTCTTCCGTCGGGACTCGGAAGTGCGCAAGCTTAAGTACTCACGTACCGGTTGTCGTGTAGGTATTTGATGCTTAATGCGGCACAAATTTCCCGCAGAATTTCAGCTATACGCGACTCCGCAGTCGGTCGCTTCTTGATCAAACGAAGAAGACCGAGGTACCACGCCTATGTAAATCAACAGTACATAATACCGGGTCGGTCGCACCAGCCCTCGCTGCTGTTTTATCGCGCATATAATAAAACAGTCCAAGGAAGGCCTGAGTTGGGCGCAGGAGTCAGAAAGTTTACTCGGGGCCCCCTGGGTCTCGTTGCATCCTGCGCTCAGTGCAATCTTTTCTTTCTTTGTCTCTCAGGGCACCGAATCCATGAGTAGATCTAGAGTATGGGCGTCTCCAAAAAAAAAAGAGTATGGGCGTCTGTCCGCGCGCGCCATCGGCCAACTTCGTCAACAGCACGGCTGATTATATAAGGGGCGCTCAATTCTCAGTTCAGTTCGTTCGTTCGTCGGATTTAATATTATTCACGGCATCTAATTGGTTGATTTAACATTTAAAATGACGAACGAACTGCACGAACTAAGAATTGAGCACCCCTTATAGTCCCAAATCCGGAAATACAGATTCAAATTGATTTCGGCCGGATGGCTGGAAAATTCCCATCAAGCCCGCCCGACGGAGGCAGTGCTTATTCGTCGGGCCCGGACTCGGAGTCCTTGCTCGACTCCTCGAAAACGCGCTCAACTGCAACTTCAAGTTGCACGGCAGGAAAATCATCGCCTCGGCGGCTGGACTAAAGCCAGACTTTTGACTTTGATTCGAACGTTGGTTGTGAATCCGTCGGTCTGGAAGATAATATAGTCAAGTAGTATAAAACCACATTGCGAGAGTGAAGACAGTCTATAGTTTTCCCTATATAATTCTCGGCCCAGGATTCACTGAGTTCTGCTGTGTCAAGGTAACCGGCCCAACGATGCGAGAATGGATACTGTAGGGACCCGCTCTAGATTGTAGACACCACATACCTATCTCCATACCTACCTTAAAATAGAAGGCGGGTAATGGAAAGCTCCAAGCGAGCGAACGGGTCATCCGGGATGCACTAACAGGCGATTTACGGCGGCGATGACGATAGGTTGAAAATGGACGAAGCGAAGCCGTCGGAGTCGCGCTGTATAAGTATCTCAGACAGCCGGAGTTCGATAAGGATCCGTGCCAGATTAAAGAGGCTCGTAACGGAGGGGGGTGGGCAATAGAGAGCTCCGAGTTCAATTACTACCCCCGGAAATCGGGCCTAACAGAAGGATGTTGGACAGCCGAACGTTGAACGTTTACGAGGCGGGGTTGTTGAAATGAAACTGCATGGCGGCGGGCGGGCCGCGGGGAGCGAATCCGAATCTGAATGCACTGGGCCTGGCTGGCAGGAGACAAGAGGATGAAGAAAGTAGAACCAAAAAGCTACCGTGATGATCCAGCCATGCTTCCGGTGGGAATTGAACCCACATCTCCTGAAGAGACATCCAGTGAACTCGCGAGTTATTATTTTCAGGTGGTCTGCCTTGACCTACAGAGGCATTGTCAAGTATTTTTGGGACTGCATATTGAGGCAATGTAAGGAGTCGGACCCGCAACGCATGAGGTCCACTAGGTCCGGAGAACGAAGCGAAGGACGAATTCTTCGAATCAGATTGAAATATTAATATTCCACCTCTTTGGGTGTTGAGGCGACGTTCCCGGGAGATGGGCGTGAACGTGTTGGTTTCGAGTCTGAATCCGCATTGTAAAAATGACGAGGGCGTGTTCGATGTCGATTTTGATGGGCAGCGGAGCAGAAGCATGCACCGAGGATGAGGGAGGGACTCAGTTGTTTCAATCTACAATGCTTGTGTTTCCGAGGCTTTTTTGGTGTTGGAATTGGTATTGGTTAGAAAAAGAAAAGAGGATATACTGGCAGACCTCAGGCCTCCGGTGGGAGTTGGATGTTGAACCCACGTCTCCTGAAGAAACATTCGGTACCACTCCGCGAATATTTTTCAGGCGGTCTGCCGTGACCTGCGGGGGCATTGTAGAGTGTCTTTGGAGACATATGATGAGGCGATCGGGTGCGGACGCGAAACTGAGATAGTCGGAGGTGGATTGGGTTTCGGACTCGGAGGGGTGCGAGTACGGAGAGATCCGAGCTCAATTGACTTGCAGCCGCAATCGGGAAAGTTGGACATTGCGTGGTCGAGTATTAGCGCGTGGACGAACCTGAGGGCTGTATTCGCATCGGGCATGGTGTAGAAACAACGGGTTGAGTGCGTACATGAGGGATATAATTTTTTCTCGGTGGATAATGGGAATGCAGGAACGAGGTGAAGGAAGCACTGTAGAACCAAAGGCTTACAACGACTCCGCTATGCCTCCGGTGGGAATCCAACCCACATCTCCTGAAGAAGCAACGAGTCAAATTGATCACTCTCAGGCGGTCTGCTGTGACCTACAGAGCCGTTGTAAAGGGCCTTTGGGACGTAGGCCATGATGAGGTGATCCAGTGCGGACGCGAAGCCGGAGAGCACATCAGACAGTCTGACTCGGATTAAAATTTGAATTTTGGAGGTGGGTATGGAGAGATTCGAGTTCAGTTGCCGCCAGAATTGGGTGAAGCGGAAGGGCGGTTGGACAGTCGAGATGTATGTAGATGGCGTCTGGAGAAATTGCATGGTCAAATATTAGCTCGGCCCGGCGACTCGGCCGAGGGTTGCATCATTCACGTCGGGTGTGGTGCAGAAACGATGAGTCGAGAGCACACGTGGGGATACAAAAAGTTCTCCGTGAATGGCAGAAATGCAGGAAAAAGCTAAAGAAGTAGGAACCAAAAAATAGCAATTGCCTGGCTTCAGTATGCCTCCGGCGGGAGTCGAACCCACTTCTCCTGAAGAAGCATTTGTACATATTCCCCAATATTTTCAGGTGGTCTGCCATGACCTACGGAGGCGTTGTTGAGCTCCCTTGGGGACGTGTAATGAGGGGATCTGAAGCCAGAGAGCTGGAATGAATTTTGGAGGCGGAGGGCGGGTCCGGGTATGGAGAGCTCCGAGATCAATTGACTTACCGCCGGAATCGGGTGAAGCGGAGGGGTGACAGGCGGGATGTATGTAGATGGTGTTTGGAGAAATAGCGTGGTCGAATATTACCTCGGCCCAGCCTGAGGGCTGCATTCGCGCTGGGTGTGGTGCAGAAACGATGAGTTGAGTGCACGCTAGGGATATAAAATTTTATTGGTGAACGGCGGAATGCAGGAAACAAGCTGAAGTTGATGGAAGTAGAACCAAAATGTTCGTTTGACCCAGCCATGCCTCCGGTGGGAGTCGAACCCACATCTCCTGAGGACATGATGCCAAAGTTATAAGTATCAATGTCAGGCGGTCTGCGTTGACCCACGGAGGCGTTGCCAACTTGTAGACCATCTTTGGGACTATGTAATGAGGTGATTCGGCTCGGTGCCGATGCGAAGCCGGAGAACAGTCGGATTGAATTTTGGAGGCGGGTCCGAGTTCCGAGTCCGGGTGTGGAGAGTTCTGGGTTCTGTTGACCTGCCGCCGCAATCGGGGATGTTGGACAGTCGAGACATAGATGGCGGTCATTCGCGTCGGTTCAAAAATGATGGGTTGAGTGCGCCCATGAGGGATATATAATTTTCTCGGTGAATGGCGGAATGCAGGAACAAGTTCAGTTTAAGGAAGTAGCGCGTAGGAACCAAAAGCTTACAACGACTCGGCTATGCCTCCGGTGGGAGTTGAACCCGCGTCTCCTGTAGAAACTTCTATGCGCCTTCACAGTTTTCAGGTGGTCTGTCATGACCTACGGAGGCGTTGTAGAGTCCCTGTGGGGACGTGTAATGAGGGGATTTGCGGACGCGAAGCGGGCCGCGGAGAATACCTTGGACAGTTGGAATGAATATTGGAGACGGATCCGGGTATGGAGAGTTCCGAGATCAATTGACTTGCCGCCGGAATCGGGTGTTGGACAGGCGGGATGTATGTGGATAGCGTCTGCAAAAATTGGGCGGTCGGGTTAGCGCGGCCGAGGGATGCATTCGCGCCGAGAAACCATAGCTTGAGTGGCACGACAATAAACATGTTTATCGGTGGGCGGCGCTTACGAGGTTGCGGTTTGGTGTTTGGAGTAAATTTGCCTGCTGACGGAACGGCGGAATGCAGGAACGGGTTGAAGGAGGTTGAAGCAAAAAGGTGGTATCCAGTAAGATCATGTCTCCGGTGGGAGTCGAACCCACGTTTCCTGAAGAAACATACGGGTTACCACTAATATTTTCAGGCGGTCTGCCGTGACCTACAGAGGCGTTGCAAAAGGTTTTTGAACTTGAAGTTTGGGGAGGAGTGATGAGGCGATCCGGTAAGGACGCGAAGCCAGGACAGCTGGAATGATTTTTTTGGAGACGGAGGGTGGGTCCGGGTATGGAGAGCTCCGAGATCAATTGGCGCCGGAGCCGGGTGAAGCGGAGGGGTGACAGGCGGGATGTATGTAGATGGCGTGTGGAAAAAGCGTGGTCGAATATTAACACGGCCGAGCCTGAAGGCTGCATTCGCGTCCGGCGGGATGCAGAAACGACGGGTTGAGTGCGCGTGTGAGAGATATAAATTTTATCGGCGATTGGCGGAAAAGCAGGAACAAGTTGGAAATAAGAACCAAAAAGATTCAGGACCGATATGCCTCCGGTGAGAATCGAACCCACATCTCCTGAAGAAGTCGTTGCCTTTTTCACAATTTTCAGGTGGTCTGCCATGACCTACGGAGGCGTTGTAGAGTCCCTTTGGGGACGTATGATGAGGGGATCTGCGGACGCGAAGCCGGCCGGGGAGAGCGAGCACCTTGGATAGTTGGAATGAATATTGGAGACGGATCCGGGTATGGAGAGCTCCGAGTTCATGTAATTGACGCCGCCGGAAACAGGATGAGCGGAAGAATTGGGCAGGCAAGATGTAGATGGTGTCTGGAAAAATTAGGCGGTCGGATTAGCGCGGCCGAGGGATGCATTCGCGCTGAGAAACGATGGGGAGAGTGCCGCGACAATAAACATGTTTATTGGTGGGCGGCGTTTACGAGGCTGCGGTTTGGTGTTTGAAGTAAACCTAACCGCCGACGGAACGGCGGAATGCAGGAACGAGTTGAAGGAAGTTGAAGCAAAAAGCTGCTGTTATGATCATGCCTCTGGCAGGAGTCGAACCCACGTCTCCTAAAGAAACATTTACATGACAACACTACACGAATCTTTTTCAGGCGGTCTGCCGTGACCTACGGAGGCGCTGTAAAGTCCCTTTGGGGACGTATGATATGATGAGGGGACCTGCTGCTGGGGGTCTTTGGAGACAGTCGGATTGGAGGCGGGTCCGGGTATGGAGAGCGCAGAGTTCAATTAACTTGCCGCCGGAATCGGGTGAGGCGGAGGGGTGACAGGCGGAATGTATGTAGATGGCGTGTGGAGAAAATGGGTGGTCGGATTAGCGCGGCCGAGGGATGCATTCGTGCCGGGTTTGAAAAAAAAAAAAAAAGAAAAAAGAGTGTGCGTGTGGGGGATATAAATTTTCTCGGTGAATGGCGGAATGCAGGAACAAGTTCAGTAGGAAGTAGCGCGTAGGAACCAAAAGCTTACAACGACTCGGCTATGCCTCCGGTGGGAATCGAACCCACGCCTCCTGAAGAAATATCTGTACTCCTTCAAATTCCATAATATTTTCAGGCGGTCTGCCATGACCTACAGAGGCGTTGTAGTGACACTTTGGGGACGTGTAATGAGGGGATCTGCGGACGCGGAGAGTACCTTGGACAGTTGGAATTAATTTTGGAGACGGAGGGCGGGTCCGGGTATGGAGAGTTACGAGTTTGATTGACTTGCCGCCGGAATCGGGTGAAGCGGAATGGTGTGGACAGGCGGGATGTATGTGGATGGCGTGTGGAGAAAATGGGTGGTCGGATTAGCGCAGCCGAGGGCTGCATTCGCGCTGAGAAACGAGGGGTGAGTGCCGTGGCGATAAACATGTTTATCGGTGGGCGTCGCTTACGAGGTTGCGGTTTGGTGTTTGGAGTAAACGTGTCCGCAGACGGATCCGAAACGGCGGAATGCAGGAACGAGCTGAAGGAGGTTGAAGCAAAAAGGTGGTATCCAGTAAGATCATGTCTCCGGTGGGAATCGAACCCACACCTCCTGAAGAAATATCTGTATACCTTCAGGTTCCACAATTTTCAGGTGGTCTGCCGTGACCTACGGAGGCGTTGTAGAGTATTTTTGGGGACGTGTAATGAGGGGATCTGAAGCCAGGGAGCACCTCGGACAGCTGGAATGAATCTTGGAGACGGATCCGGTTATGGAGAGCTCCGAGATCAATTGGCGCCGGAGTCGGGTTGAAGCGGAAGGGCAGTGTTGGACAGTCGAAATGTCTAGAGAAATTGCGTGTGGAAAAAGTGGGCGGTCGGATTAGCGCGGCCGAGGGATGCATTAGGAACGATGGGTGAGTGCCACGACAATAAATATTTTTGGGCCCCGCTTACGAGGCTGCGGTTTGGTAAATGTTCCCGCCGACGGAACGGCGGAATGGAGGAAGGAGGTTGAAGCAAAAAGTTGAAAGATCTGATCTGGTCATGCCTCCGGTGGAGTTGAACCCACATCTCCCTGTAAACAAGCATGTACTCAGCGGTTCGCACTATTCAGATGATCTGCCTTGATCCACGGAGGCGGTGGGGTGTTATGAGGGTAACGCCGTAGAGCGGAACGGAGCGGAGCCGTCTGAGGCGGGCAATGGAGAGCTCCGACGTTTGTGATGAACGTTGTGAAGCACGTGGAAGAGAATCAGTCCTATTTACACCACTCCTTCCTCCTAACTTCTCTCCTTTCCCTTGACCTCTACATGGAGGACATTCGACGCCCAATGCGGCGTCGGAGGATGTCGGCGCCGCCACCTCGCCCGCTGCCCGCCCGCCTCCCTCCGTGCCGGCCCCTCCCGCTCTCCCTGGAGGCGCTAGACCTCTCGCCGGCGTCGCCCGCGCAGGCCCTCGCCTCGCTGCGGTTCCTCGTGCTGTCGTACCTCGCGGACCTGGAGCACAGACTGTCCCTGTTCGAGTCCGCCGAATGGGCCGAGGCGGCGCTGGACATGCTGCATGGGATCCGCGCGGACGTCCGGTCGCACCTGCCCGACCTCGGCGCCCACTTGCCCGACATGGACCTGAAGTCGCATCTGCCGGACATGGACTTTATAGCGCATCTGCCGGACATGGACCTGAATTCGCTGATGCAGCGCTGGGCAGAGCTCGACTTTTCGCGGCCCCTGTCCTATGTGCCCACCCTGTCTGCCCGCCTCAGCACGCTCCGCGCAGAGCTCGCCGCACGCCGTCCCTCCTTCGAGTTTGACTTTGACTTTGACTTTCCTACGCCGTCCTTTGACTTTGACTTTGACTACCACTCCTACTTTGCCCGCCCCAGCTTTCCCTTCTCCCCGCCTGCCCGTCTCGCGTCCTTCCTCACAGAGCTCGACGCATTCCTCGCCGAGCTCCCGCGTCTCCCCTCCCTCGCCCTCTCCCTCCCCGACCTCCCCTCCCTCTCCCCCTGCTCCGCCCTCCCCAGCCCATTCCCCTTCCCGGAGCACAACGAAGAAGAGGCCATCGCCCGCGCCCTCCAGCTCTCCGCACACGGCGCCCGCCTTATCACGTACCCGGACCTCCCCCCCGCTTGGCAGAACAACGCCTTTGTCCGCAAGGGCTACCGCTTCGTGCCCCTCCGCCGCTGGTACGCCCTCGTCGGCTCTGTGTTCCGCCTCCACAACGAGACCCGTGCGTGCCCGTCTTTCCTTCATTCCTTCTGTGTGCTCATGCGAGTATAAGTGAACATCCACACGCACCTCATTCCCCTCGTCCTCTGGGGCGCCGCCCTCGCGGGCGCCATCTGGCCCACCCCGCTCGCGCTCTTGCACCGCCTCTTGTCGACGCCCGCGCTCGCCGCTTTTGCGCCATTTGCGTCTGCGGCGGGCCCACTCCTCGGGTGGCTCCCCTCTCCCCCGGAGCGGCTCACGCGCGACGCGGGACGGTATACGCCCTTCTCTTCCCCTTCCTCACCCTACTCCCCCACCCCAGCCCCAGACGGCACGGAAACCCTCTTCACGCTCTTCGCGCTCGCCTGCCTCGCGAGCAGCGCGCTGTGGCACACTATGGCGGGCTGCGCCGGCCGCCGCGCGATGGAGGCGTGTGCAAGGGTGGATTATGTCGGGATTGGGTGGTGCGTCTTTCTTTCCTCGCCTTTCTCGTTCCGTGCTCTCTCCACCCCACGCTCATTCATTCGCATTCGCCCACAGGCTCATCGCCACCTCCATCGCGACGGTCGTGCACCACGGGTACGCGTGCGCGGAGGCCGCGGCGGAGGCGACGCCGCTCGGGCACGCGGTGCTGCATCCGTCCACTTTGTTGCAGAGCGGCGGCGTGCTCGAGGCGGCGGGGGGGCTGTTGCAGCACGCGGAGGGGCTGCTGCATGCGCATTCGCATTCCGACGGTGGGGAGGTGGGGGCGGGCGGGTCGTCGGCGTCCGCGTACCTCACTCCGCTCCTCGCCCTCTTCACCCCCCTCTCCGCCCTCTTCACCCCCCTCGCGACGCTCCTCGCCCCCCTAACCACCGCGCTCCGCTCCCCGCTCGAAACCGCCGCATACCACCCCCTCGGCAGCGCGTGCCTCCTCCTGTGCCTCGCGTGTGGCGTCTCGGGGAACGTCCTCCCGTATTGCGCGTGGTTTAATAGGGTGGAGAATCGGGTGAGTGCTTTTTCTTTCTTTTTTGTTGCGTTCTTTGCGGTTTCTTCGGCTCCGCTCCACGCCCCCTTGGCGCACTTCCACGCGCATCACCTCGCTCCGCGGAGGCGAAGAGAGAAGAGACGAGTCGCGCTTTTCCCACTCTTCCCTTCCTCGCTCCCCCCCACTCCAAAAAAACAAATGCTAACCCACACCCGCACCGCAGCTCTGGCGCCTCGGGTTCTTCGTCGGCATCTCGTTCTCGGCGCTCGCGCCCCTCGCGGGGATCGCGACGCTGCAGGGGTGGGGCGCGATGGTCCGGTTTGTTGGTGAGTGTTATTTGTTTTTTTTCAAATTAATTTTATTATCTCGAGTTGCGGCGCTCCGGTCCCCGCCCCTCCCTCGACACGCCCCCGAGTTCCTTCGATCTCCCCCGCGCATCCACTGCCTTCCCTTCCTCCCCCGACAGCTCCTCCCCGACCTCGCCCCCTTCCCCCTCTTCTCCTCTTCTCCCCCTTTTTCAAACCAGGACTAACACCTCGACAGCGCCCGTCGGCCCCTCGCTCCTCTTCTACATCGTTGGTATCGTCATCTACGCTACGCAGGTGCCGGAGCGGTGGATTGGTGGGGGGGCGCGCGGTGGCGGGGGGGATGAAGGAGGAGGGATTGAAGGAAGAAGGGGGTGGCGGGCGAAGCTGGGGACGGTGGTGGATTATTGTGGGGGTGGTGCGTCTTCTTCCTTCCTTCCTTCCTTCCTTCCTCCCTCCTTTCCTTCCTTCTCAACCCTTCCTTCCTCCCTCCCTCCTTCCATCCCTTCCTTTCCATCCCTCCCAAAACAAACCCCGAATCGAAACACTCACCCACCAACCCCAGGCTCGCACGCGCTCTGGCACGTGTGCATCGTGCTCGCGATGCGCGCGCACCGGGATGGGATCCGCGAGATGCGCGCGGCGGCGGCGGCGGGTGGGTGTGCGGCTGCTGGCGGGGGCGGGTTGGTGGGTTGATCATTTTCAATCATTTGCGCTCGCATAGAGGGACCCGTGCGTGTAGAAATCGCTAGACTCGTCGCGCTAGATTATATACAGCAGTATAGTACCGTAAAGCAAAACAGAGGCGGTGGAGGGGAGGGTGGGGTTTTTTGGTGGAGAGAGAGGAGAAGGAGGTGTAATGGTATGTTTGGGTGTATGGTAGTGTACTTTGTGTTGGGCTAATGGAGAGGTTTTTGGTGTTGTTGCGTTTAATTGTTGTGTTGATATTGAAGGTTTTTGGAGATGTAGACTCGGAGGAAGCGTGCCATTATTTCCGTTTCTTTCCAATCTTGTTGATGTTGTACCTGAGTAGTGAGCAGACCACCCGGACCGCGCCAAGCAGCTTTTGGCCTTGAGTCTGTTTCGGCAATGATACAGTGAGAGCATAGTCGGTCAAAAAAACAACAATGCTCAAGTCGGCATTGAAAGAGTTGAAATAATAAAACGTACTCGGTCGTTGGTATATACACTCCTCAATTCGCTTTCCTAGCCATCTCGGAGAGCGCCAAATCCAATCAATCTGATAGAATCGATGTGAAGACCGAGGCATAAATAATAAGACTACGCGCGGTGCTCCTGCCGGTGTTGGACACGGGCGTCGGGGGAATCTGCGGTGCGTTCGATGGCCGCTCGTGTAGAGTGGATCGATCTCCTATGGGATATTGGCATGGCGGCGGCCGGGACTGGGTTGTGCGCCCCACGCAACTGGGAATCACTGGGACCTCAGGCTCCAGGCTCCCGTTATCATGGTTCGAGAATGACTCAGAGCGGCAAACACCGATGACAAGTACTTTCAACCGTGAGAAAGCACTCGGACAACTCTGAATATTCGAATCACCTTGTTCGCAACCGGCTGGTTCTAGAAGTTCAAGTTGCAAGCAACCCTCGATAGACCTACCAAGAAAGAGTTTTGTGGTAATGAATTGTCTATGAGGCAAGCCTCTTGATTGACGAGTTTGCTTTCATAGGCAGGCTGCTGGACTCCTAATTTTTTCCGGACTATGACTGTAGCTCTGATTTGACCGGCTGATGGAGAGGTTTTTGGTGTTGCTGCATTTAATATTACATAACTGTGTTGTTCTTGAAGTATTTCGAAGATGTAGAGGAAGTGTGCCATTACTTCGGTCGCCATTTCCGCTCAATTGCTTACTTGAGCAACGAGCAGACCACCCGGACCGCGCCGAGCAGCTTTCGGCCTTGAGCAACGATACAGTGAGAGAGAGAATAGTTAAAAAATAACAAAGCACAAGTCGGCATCGGAGGGAAATAATAAAACGTACTCGATCGTTGACTGGCACTCGCAGCACTGGACTTCAGAGCGGGAGGTGAGTAACAGAAGTAAGTGTCTGGATACAGATTCCTCATTTCACGTTCCAAGCTTCACAAAACATCTCGGAGAGCGCTGAATCCAATCGATTTGGCGCAGGTGGGTGGCACAAACCGAAAAAAACGCCCAACCCACTTCCGCGAAACTTCCG